ATTTTGAAAAGGGCTCTTAAGAGGTACCAAGATCCTGTTTTGTGGGCGTTGCTTGAAATGTTTTTCACCCCTAAGAGGTACCATTTCTAAAACAACACATTATCTCCTGTCATATATATTTTTTTCGGCTCAATACCCTAAAAGGTACCGCAAACCTTCTGCTGTGGACCTTTTGAGGCTGAACATCCTCTCACCAAAACGTTTTTAACCCCTAAAAAGTACAACGAGCACCCCCGTCCTTTTTAGGGAGTCCCTCCCGGGGGTGAAGGGTGGGAGGGTACGGTACTGAAGTAGGTGACATATATGGAAATGCACACGGCTTGGTACTTCTGTTAACAGCCTGGCAGTTAATCCAGTCCCTCGTCTCTGAAGTTTTGGAAATTCCCCGCTTCCCCACTAGTTCGAAGCACATGGACCGCGGCAAAATATCCAGGAACTTGGGAATGTTCAAGTTTTTTTTCGGTTGCCAAGTTAGCGAGGCTTGAGGGTTTAAATGGGAATGATAATAATGAATTCTCAGCTACATTTGAGCTATATTTTCATGGCAGATCTCAGATAACTTTTACTTCTCACTTGAGTTCATCCATTAACCGAACATCCCGTAATTTCCGAAGAACTTCTGAGTGATTCCAAACTCTTTCGAGACTTACCACAATCCGATCGACGACGTTTATACGATTGTTCCAAACAATTCGAGAGGAGCACCGAGCAATCTTCATTAAAAACGTTCTCTTCCATTAAATAATTCGTCAACTTGACTTTCAGCTGTCTGTCTACTCCAAAGGTGTCATGGAGCAGACGGCCGAAATTTAAATTAGTCATTATCGGTCCATAACTGAGCGAAATCCTCCCCTCCCCTGTACAATTGTCGTGATTTGTCCGTGGTGGGCTCAGGCACAAATGTCAACTGCCCTTGCTTTTTCAGCCACCCCCAGCAACATATCAAGTTCTCGCCTTAGCATAGCTATAAGGATATAAAAATATGCCCCCTTTCTTGTGCTTACACCCCCGGTGGAGGTTAACCAAGAAGTTTTTGGTAGAGGTGTGCAGCCCACATCTTAAAACCCTTAACCCACTTCAGGCCAAAATCTGTGATTTCAGACTTAGGCCAAAAATCAATACCCCATTTCAGACCTCTAAATTAGCTAGCACACAGCTCAAATATATGACCGCAACTTACCAGAAATGGCTTCCAATTTCGTAAAAGCTTGAGAAGGCCTACAAATTTGCTAATGTTAATGCAGAAAAAAAACATAAGTTCTTTGTCGGCGAAATACCCAATGCCAAGCCGGACTGGTACCTCTTGGGGCGTTTAGCTCAAAAGGTCCACAGGGGTAGCTTTTTCGGTACCTTTTCGGGTATTGAGCAAAAAAAAAAAAAAAATGNCCCCCCCCCCCCCACCGGGCTGCATATATGGTAATACCTATATAGCCCATATAACGGAGTACCCACTGGGCTTGCATCTCAGTAATCCACTTCAAGAGTTTTTTTAATAATGACAATGACAATAATGATGATAATGATAATGATAATAATAATACACATAAGGGTACACATAAAAAACCATTAGTCTGATGCTAAATATAATTTTTATTACTTTTAATGCAAATATGCAGCCATTTGTTTTGTGATCTGACAGACTAAGTTTGACATTACCCTGTCACCTTAGGACTAGAGTAAGGAAAATTGTTTCTCTAGCTAGCCTATTAAAGAGTCTGAACCTAACTATGTCTTACTTTCACATAACATTTAAATTATTATTGAACTCCACTTAGCAGGGTAGAAATATCAGAGGTTAAACATGTAAATTTTAAACCTCGTCTTGTGACTCCCAAGAAATTAATGCTACTTCCCTTGGAAACACGTACAACATGGCTCTTATTTTAATTATTCTGTTCTATTTGCAGGTTAAGAAAAACACTTCTCACGATTGTAGGAGCTCTAAGTAGACAAAACTGAGTCTTATTACAAATTATAGGGAAATTAAGAGCTAAAACAAGGTTTCTAAATTGCATCCAAAAACTGAGCTTCAGCAGATAACAACATGTGCAACACTACTAAAGCTTATCCCTCTGCACGCAATGCGTGCCTAGCCGGAAACATAAGCGGCCCAGGGAAAGCCTGTTTTATGCTTCCACAAAGAGAGCTAGGTTGCTGGCAGCGAAAGGCTGAGTGGAAGTGGGGGTTGGGAGGTCGGGAATTTATCAAAATTAGATTGAACAATATTTTAGAACTACCTTTTTTAACAGCAGTTGTAACTGTAATGCACATCTCATGACAGGTGTCAAGCTGTGAATTATACAAGCTTCCTGAGCAAAAAGAGTCAATCATTTATCTTGGTGCACTACAAAGTAGTTATATCAATGATAACTGCCCAACTTTAACCTCCATTAACTGAGCTTCTAATTGACGTGCACTTTAGTGGATGGCTAGTCAATGCATACATTGATTTAAAACAGCACACATGACATGGGTTTAAGATGAATAAAACATTCAGATTCTATAGTAGTCAGGTTCCTGCCAATGTCTAGTTTTAAACCAAATAAAACCATTCAATCATTGCCAAAAGCTGCAGCACAGATTCCCACACAACACACACAACAACACAGAACACCAACCACAATATACATGGAAGTTGTTACCCAAAATGCAAACAGGTACAGAGTCTTATGACAGTAATTGGGATCGTCAGTGTCAGTATAGTTAGGATGGTAATTTTGATAGATCCAGACATTGCCGCAAATAAACCAGACAAACAGGAAACAGTCCAGAAAGGACTCCAAAGGCCTTTTCCTACTCTGTCCCTCTTCGTCCTCATTGTCTCTTTGTTTGACTCTTTGACCCAATGAAATGAGGTTTCTGAACGCTCCAACAGCTCCAGCAACTATTAGGTAGATAGGTATCTTGTCTTCAACCGGGCATTGGTTCTTGTATTTAGCACCTGCAAAGGAAATTACAGGTTGCATTTCTAAGGAATGACAGTCTATCAGCATTAGTAATTAAAGAAGCAACATCACAGGCATTTATTTGGCGACGTTCTTGTTGAAATCGTACTTAAATTATGTATGAGTAACTTAGCAGATACACAAAATAAGTCTAGAGTATTTGCATAATTATGTAAAATACAAGCTTATTCCCAAAGAAGCAAAGGTTTTGTAATACACAAGCAAGTAAAACTTGGTGATAACAGCAAACAATGTTTCACAGTCACCATGACACCATTTTCAAGTTCAAAAAGATACGAAATGAACTGTAAAGAAAAAATTAGTATGGATTTATCTGCTTCGTATTGACCCTCTTGCCTTGATTCTATGCCTTTTTACACTGTCAAAAGAACTTTCAATTGACTGCAACTAAGGTAACATCAGCATACAAGCCAAGTAGCCCATCAGGCCTGAGCTTATCCCAGTTTCTGTAGCATGAAGAGACTAGGAGTATTTCTACTCCCTCCTGGATGGGATTCTAGTCCATCGCAGGTTTGCCTCCACAGGACTTCAAATAACAGCCGGTCAACAGACAATGTCCGATCAAAAATAACTTTTGTCTCGACAAATTTGTCATTTACACTGGTAAGGAAAAATTTAGAGTTTCAAGATTTAATATTTAAAGGTTCAATATTATTGATGTTTGTAAAAAAGGAGGGAAAAAAGGCGGATACTTAACTTCCAGACCAAGAACTTTTAATAAATGATTTGTAATAGTCATAAAATTTCCAGTTATCGTTGCAAATTTTTGCACGAATGTGATACTGAATTTGCTGTACCATGCATTCCACTTTTCCAAAATAAATGCTTTGAAAATTTACTTGTTTCATATTTAAACATCATGTGAAGGGGGGGGGGGGNTAGGTTTGACCGGACAAAGTTCTGTGTTACTCATTTATACACCTGGGTGGGAGAGGCACTGTGAGAGTAAAGTGTCTTGCCCAAGAACACAACACAATGTCCCTGGTCAGGGCTTGAACCTGGACCACTTGATCTGGAGACGAGCAAGCTAACCATGAGGCCACCACACCACCGCTGCAGACTAAACCGTACTAACAGCTCTTGAAGAACTACAAACTGAGCCACTTGAAACTATAAAATAACTCTGCAGAACATCAAGACTGTTTCTGCAGAACATTCGAGCAATAATGGCAAAAATAAAGTTACTAAAAAAACGTCATAGCATGGTAACACTTTGAATACAGTTAAGAAGTTATCTAGACTTTAGCTCTCAAGCTGACCCCGTGAGGGATCCCTATTTCAACCAAAATGGACTTTTCATGTCAGTTCAAAACAAAATAACACACCCTTTAAGCATTTTAAGAGGATTGACATAACCTTTCTCCAAAATGCTTGAGAATTTAACTGTGAGGTCACTCAAAGTAATGAATTAAAGTGAGATGTTTCAAATAGTATTCAAAATGTTACCGTAATACAAGTAGATTTCTAGTAAATATTTTTTGCAGTTATATGTTGCTCAAACTTTGAGTGGAATCCCTCTTAAATGAAAAGTAGAAACAAGCAGATGACCCACGCCTGAACAATCTTAGTTTTAGTATTTCACTTACCTATAACTATCATTGCAATAGGAATTGCCATAACCAGACCAATGAGAATAGTACAACCAACTACAAACCAAGGGTACAATAATTATTATGATTATTGAACTATAATTAAGCAATATTGAGTCACACAGTACTGGAAGCACCGTTGGCATTCAAGGGGTTACATTACGGTTTTCGGCAGGAGGGCAAAACTATATGAACTAAATTTCTTTATAAGTTAGAATAAATTTTCTCTAGACGGTCAAACCAGCCAGGCAAAATCACCCACAAAGTCAGTCAATTTGCCTTGTGCCCAGCTCTTAATGAAACCCCTAAGAATTAGGCAAGCTTGTAATAGAGCAAGCTTGAATTAGAGAATTAACTCTAAAAATAACCAGGACTTTCCTTCTAGGCAAGATAAAGAAAACCTTCTTTTGACCTGGGAAGGAACTGAATCTGTGACCAGATCAGGTAACTGTTATTGGCTGTGATGGGAGCAACTTGTGAGCAAGTTGAGGGTTATTCCGGGTTATTGAGGTGAAAATTTGTGGCAAGGGAGGTGTGAAAGGTACTGTAAAGCAATGTTGAGATACTCAGCACTGTTATCAGACATAGTGCCAGTAAAATAACCGAGGAATTTCCTTGGAATATTAGCCAGAGAAATGAATTTAGGATCCAAACTGGGTTGATGCTCAGGACTTAAAATTACTGTTAAGTACTTACTAGTTCCAGCAAGCAGCAAAATCAGTTTTTTCACGAAGTCCATGATTGAGCTAGAACTTNTTGTAAAGATCTGCTCATTGAAGGCATAAAATTGTGACCCCCTCCTATCTAAGGCATGGTTGACCACCCCCATTAAAGGGAGCACACAAGGGAATGCAAAAGAGTTGGTGGTTAATCGCGAGTAACAGGGTGAATTTCATCCAAACTTTAGGAGTTAAATTTCCGTTTGAAGACCTTTGAGGCGAACAATCAGGTTTTATCAACAAAAACGTAATTTTTGTTAAGCTTTGATATCTTATGATAAGTATCTATCAATTCATAGCGAAAATTTTATTCAGGGTAGATCACAACAAGGTGATTACTAAATACAGCACAGTTAGAATCATTACACGCGTGGGCAGGTCGCATTGAGGAAAACTTTCTCCTCGGTAAGTCGTGCATGTCTGAAAAACCGCCATCGCCAACTTCTCAGACACGATAATAGAACTTTCTGATTTCGGACCAAAAGCAGTCTTCTTTGCGACAATTTTAGTTTGCTAACAGAGTTCTAACACATAAGGGAACGGATCTAAAGCTGTTTTTAACAAGGTCATGAGAGAAAGGAAGTAAGTCATGGGACATTTGGTTTCATTTTCAACACGGTGGAAACTGAATGCACTCAACAAGGAGAGTTGTCAAAACGACACGCTAATACTGCAGAAGTAACTCTCGTCTCTGAACAAACTAACTAGACATCTTAAAAAAAAAAAAATGAAAAGTAAGCATGTTTGCCCCAGTTCTAAAGCTCATAGTTACGCCTGCTGGACTTCGTCGACTGAAGTGGTCGCCATTTGGCGCGAACAGGCTTCGATCGATCACTACTTTAAATAAAGAAATGAATAAGGCAACGACTGACCTCTATTGCTCGTTTTTCGGTCTCAGCCATCACTCGATGTTCATGGATCTTATATTATCTTTGTTACATGCACTCCGCTAGGAGCAAGTCGTCCAGACTCCTAAACTAACAGATGAATACTGAGTTCACTCCCTGAAAATGACGTGCGGTTGATCGAATAAATTATACTCTCAACTACCCCGAACGAATACGTCATTACCCTATCGGGGTGAGTTGAGGCAATTGTTTCATAAAATACCGCAACCGAGGACAAAAAGTTCAGGGACTGCGGAGCGGGAGGGACTGGTGGGGCGAAAATTCCTTGGGTTGAATTTTAGGGCGCACAAATATACATTTGGTAATATTGTAGTCAAACATCCAACACGCTACATGTGCTTTAATCAAAGCCACGAAATGTACAATTCAAACGATAGAGTTTGGCGAAAGATGATGAAAGCGATTAAAAGTGAGTGATTGCTACAAAAAAAATAAATTACAAGTTATGAAACGAATACAATAAAAGAAATAGAAATAACGAGGCAAAGGGAAACAATACTTACAAACATCGTATGACTAGGACAGCTAGGAACACAATGAAGGAAAGCGGTGAAGACGGCAAATTTAAACTAGATGACTGTAACATTGCGATTGAAATACACAAATACAATGGGAAAATGTACGCAAAAAGGGACTGAAACAGAAATGAAAATATGTGAAAAAAACGTAACAGAATATTGATTCAGTGAAAGTGGGATAAACGAAAAGAATGCAATGATAACGGAAAGAATGCACGAACAAACAGAAAAAATAACAAAGAATTCAATGCGGCACACACAGTAAGCGGGCAGAACTTGCAGAGAGAATTTATAGGGGCACTACTTTGTAAAAGCCTGCTAAGGTTTTTTCAGTCCCTCCTGTATTCAGTCCTATTTTTCTTCATTTAATGTAAAATATATTGACTGAAATGGAAATAAACTTGATTGATTACACAGTGGCCCCTAATGCAGGGACCACAGTGGGGCAGGGAGGGGGGGTGCTGGTAGGTATAGTTTGACTAGCAAGGACCCCTCCCAAAACCAATGTTCTGAGCTGGAACTAGCCTCGAGTTGAAATGATGAGAACGCAAAATACATGGCCGTCATGACATGTTCTGCAGAACATTTTGAGTACTTCTGTTGTTGCAGCTTATTGCCAGAGTGAGGGCAGAGGGGTTATCTCGTATAACGGCCTATACAGGGAGGCTCTACCCGAAAGGGTTACCTTTTCTAGGCTCCAAGTGTATAAAAGCGGGGATTTCACAACCCAAGGTATATGGAAGTGTGGGGAAAGGAACTAAATATGATACTTATTTTCCCAGCCTGATCAATCAATGAAACTAATAATCGATAACAATTGATAACAATTAATTGATTGATATTGGAAATTGATGACAAAACGATGAACAAAAATTTTGTTCTTCGATTGCCATCCATTGTCATCGATTGTCGTCGACTATTATTGATTCCCATCGATTGTAATCAACTAGCAATTTCATTGACTTCCATATTTTTTGGGAGGGTATATAAAATGCGAATCGCAGCTGGACTACTAACTCAATAAGTGCTACGCCAGTTACTCCTTCTCTAACTTAGCCAGGAACTTAGGTAGGTCAGGAGAGTAAAATGAGGAAGGATGGTCAATGCTAAATGCATATAGTGTTGACATGTTAAATAAACACCCAGCAGGAAATGACCGCTGCATATTACGGCTTTATATCATCGTTGTACGTTAAAACCCCAGGATTAAACATAATGAATGCTCGGCTGCCATTTCCCTTGTGAACAACAGCAACAATACTTTATTGATCTTCATAACAGAACCAAATGCAAAACTATAATTGTTTACAAAATGTAAACCGTGACTGCAATAAAAATGTTCCCACTCCTGCAACTGATAGGTTGCTCCTTTGTTAAAAGTTCACTGGCAGAATATTTTCATTCCCTTGATATGTTCTTTCAAGAATTATCCAGAATGCTAATTGCATTGAAAATGATCCTGCTAAATAATAGCAATGAATAGCAATTAGGGGACTCCAGCTTGTGATTATCGATTGGTCATCAATTGGCCAATAGCAATCGACAACAATTAACTAATTGTCATTGATTGATATCAACTGATTGATTGGATTTCCACTCATCGATTGATCAGGCCGGGTTATTTTCTTGGCTATCATCTCTTCTGGTAATGCTTGATGTTCTCCCATAGTATTGCTCATTGACTATATTCCAAGGGTTCAGAAAAGGGATGCAGTGTTGTTAACAAGGTGCAGAAAAGGGGTCTTTTTTTCTGTAAAAGGTATACAGAAAGGGTACTTTTCTGTCAAAGTGGTAAACAAAAGAGCAAGGGGATGGAGTTTGGGGTGGAGCCTCCCTGTACAAAACTTGATTGATTACATCCCCCTCCCCTGAGGAGGGAGGGGGGGGGGTTGATTGCTGAGACGGATGCAGGGGATAGAGGTGTAACTTCAAATAAATGGCAGTACCTTGAACAAATTCTGGTAGTGTTTATTTTAACTAGACTCCAAGTCTGTAGATCTACCATTTTGAACAAGGATCTGGTTATTAACTAAGAGAATACAGTCCTTGCCCTAATTAATGGTATAATGTTTGTTGCTTATGACTATGGTACAGTTACATATAAAAGGTAACTGAAGATTAAAATACTGCAACATCATATAGTCTATTTGTATCAGGTAGTACCCGATACAAATAGTCCAAATACTGTTGCAGTATTTCCATCTTTGGTTACCTTTCATGTAACTGTAAGTCTCGCCACAGCATGAAAAACTACAAAACTTGCAACTACTAACTAAAATTATACTTACAAAAAGCCTGTACCAGAACATAATTACATGATTGTACAGATATCCATGGTTGTCAAAAGTACATGTACAGTAGGCCAGCTGCCAGCTAAAATCACCATCTTCTTCACAATCTAGGCTAGCTACTCTCTCTGGCTACGACACCCCAAGTGGTCTGATTCTTCAGAAAAGGACGGTAAAATTCAGCTGCCTTCTCTAACAATAACGCTGCCAGCTTCAAAAGTTTGGGGCAACCCTGGCATGGTATGTATAATATACACTTAAGTAAACTTAAGTCAAAATAAAATGTTGCACATTTCTTCACATGACATGTTATTGATGTTCAAATAGTTCTCGTATCTTTTTTATACTCGGAGTATAGCGGGCTTGTCTCTGGAAAGAGTAGTCTCTCCAGCTGCAACAGAAACACACAAAAATGTTAATACCTCTCAATATTTCATTCACAAGTCTTGAACAGTTATCATACATATAGTTTGTATATGTGGCTCTGTCAAGAATATTATGTATTAATCTAGAAACATGGCCCAATTTCAGGGCTGTCATTAAGTTTTGAGTAACATCTACCCTTGATCCTCACAACTGTATTGTAACAAACTTGTTATGTAAGTGGGGCTCACTGATTTANGCAATTATTTTTTACTTCATAGGCACTTTAAGTTCCATCTTTGGACCTCGAAGTTTAATCCTGACGAAGCCTCACTAGCATACAAAACCAGTCAATTAATAAACTCAGTTATGTAAAATTATAAGTTATTGCTGTGTGCTGTCCACAAGTATTGTTATTGTAAAATATTTTAAAATTTTAAAGTTGAATTGTATTAACTTTAGTCCAGTTGACCCCGTAACATCAACACAAACATACTCAGCCGTAGCAGATGTTACAGGTTACAGCCCTTATTGACAGCCTGCATTATTCATCAGCACCTGTTAAAACAATTTCTGGCTTTACATAATAACCATATTTTGGTGTGAACAAAATTTGTGTTTTGAAGTGGCCAGACCATGTTTTAAATGGCAATGATAAATTGAATTCGAAGATTTTCTGATTAAAACTGTCCAATTTTAAATGAAATTCTTCATGTTTCACAATGCAAGTAGATTTTTACAGTTTTAGCTGCTTTAGCATCCTTTTATGAAAATGGTATTTTTTGCATTAATATTACCTTTAATTATGTTAAATAATTAAACAAATTTTATTTTTAATCAATTATAATAATTAAAATTTTATATTATAAAACAGTTTTATTGCATTCATTTTATTTTAATATTCTGAATTAATTTCATTTATCACTCACTTGGTCTTAACCTTCTTCCATCTATCAATGTGATTTCTTTTGAGGTCACTCACTGCTGGAGCTTTATCAAGATCCTAAAGGAAAAATTGAAAATGAAGTTTTCAGTTACACACAATAGCTAGAATACTGAGTTTGAGATAATTATAAGGAGTAAAAGGAAAACAACTTTTGGTTCGACTTTTCAGGAGGCTTTTTTGAGAAATCTATAGTTTGAGAAATCAGCATTCCACTGTATTTATATAATATCAAGGGTCTGCATTCAAGCCAATATGACCCATACCATGAGAGTTTGTCCCTGTTTCTGTAGCACAAAGAGTCTAGGGGGCATAGCTACTCTTCCAGAATAGACTGTTTTAACACTAGTCCAATGAAGGCTATCTTCAGCTATTCCCAAAATAGGAAAAAAGGCATCAACTAGCTGCCCTTGTTTGATATAAAATACCAAGGGAGTGATGGGGAAATTAAGTGTGAACACAAATGCTTCTCTTCTGTTTATGTTATTTTCTGTACTAAACTCCTGTATGTTTTATACTAATAAGAGTTCTACAGACTCACGCTTGTTTGAAATTTGTTAGGCAAAATACATTTAGTGCCAGACAAAAATGTGATGTAACTGCTCAGTGACATAATATGTACTTATTGACTGAGTGGGAAGGCCGGACGGGAAAATATTTGGCTCGAGGTCAGGACGTATGGACTGAGTGCAGCGAGGTCTGTGCGTCCTGACCGAGAGACAAATATTTTCCCGTCCGGCCCGACCTTACTCAGTCAATAAGCATTTTATCNCGGGTCATATGATAACTATTTTGTACTTTGAGTTTCAAAAGTTCTGTACTCACGTAATGAATATCAAGAGACAGCGTCCCTTTGGTATGAGTGCTGTTCATGTTACAGTCTTCAATCAGTTTAATTGGATCTGGAAAACTTTACAAAACAGGAGTAAAAATTTACAGTACTATATTCATTGCTTTGTCTCTTGGAAGGTGGAAAGTGATTTTGCAGCCTCAAGAGCATATCTGTGCTGGTGTTCCTAACACTAAACCATCACGTAGTTTCAATAGTTTTCATTGTTACCATTGATTTGACTCTTAATTACAGGGAGGTATCCTGTGTTAGTTGAATTTTCAATACTGCAAGTCTTCACACAAACTTGTTTACTAGTCACTGAATCCCTTAAGCCTGCGACAAAATAAACTGCTGAGCTTTCACATTCTCGTTGTTGATTAACAGCTTTATTCTGTGTGCTTACAGTTTAAAAGTCTAGCTTGAAATATTGAATTGGGATGGTGACCACCATGGGGCTAGAAGGTTTTGTAATACACTGAATAGAAAAAATATAATACCTGTACACATTTTTAGGATCACCCTCACCATTCTGGAAAAAATAAAAGTATTGGAGATCTAAGGAAACAATTAAGGTAACAGATAACCTAACTATTACCATGAAGTTATTTTGTTGGGACCAATGGAAAAAAAAATAGGTACATGATAACAGTAGAATTACTCCAGTTTTAGGGGAAAAATAAGGGAAAAACAAAATTTTTGTCACNAGAGACAGCGTCCCTTTGGTATGAGTGCTGTTCATGTTACAGTCTTCAATCAGTTTAATTGGATCTGGAAAACTTTACAAAACAGGAGTAAAAATTTACAGTACTATATTCATTGCTTTGTCTCTTGGAAGGTGGAAAGTGATTTTGCAGCCTCAAGAGCATATCTGTGCTGGTGTTCCTAACACTAAACCATCACATAGTTTCAATAGTTTTCATTGTTACCATTGATTCGACTCTTAATTACAGGGAGGTATCCTGTGTTAGTTAAATTTTCAATACTGCAAGTCTTCACACAAATTTGTTTACTAGTCAATGAATCCCTTAAGCCTCCCACAAAATAAACTGCTCAACTTTCACATTCTCATTGTTGATTAACAGCTTTATTCTTTGTGCTGACAGTTTAAAAGTCTAGCTTGAAATATTGAAATGGGATGGTGACCACCATGGGGCTAGAAGGTTTTGTAATACACTGAATAGAAAAAAATATATTACCTGTACACATTTTTAGGATCACTCTCACCATTCTGGAAAAAAATAAAAGTATTGGAGATATAAGGCAACAATGAAGGTAACAGATAACCTAACTATTACCATGAAGTTATTTTGTTGGGCCCAATGGAAAAAAAAAAAGGTACATGATAACAGTAGAATTACTCCAGTTTTACGGGGAAAAAAATGGAAAAACAAAATCTTTGTCACAGCAAGTTTGAGAGTAGGAACAGTGAAGCTCAGCCTACTTAAAAAAGCACTCATGAGCACATCAGTTGTGATAACCAAGCCATTTTCTCTGTGATGTGAGTAATATTACTGCAAGTTCAGCCACAGCTCAGATCCCTTACTCTGATGATTGCTGGTTGCTACTTAAAGGCATACGAGGGAAGTTTGTGCGATTTTGTACACAAGTGTCTAGTAATTATTTGCATATAACCTTCAAAAATTTTATTTAATTGAAAACCATTGCCTTTTTTTTTTCGTGGTTTGCACTTCACTTTTGAAAAATAATGTATGCAAAAAACTTGAGTTTGGTTTTTGTTGCAATTCTTTTTGAAACAAAAGAAACCTTTTTTTATTCCTCAAATAAAAAAGCCTGCCAGGCAATGCAAATTTGTTCTGATACAGCGATTTGATGATTAGATCAGGGCTTTCTGTGTTTACACTTATGTTGCTTTGAGTTTATTTTCCTCTAAATCAGTGTTTTTCAGATGTAAATGTAACAGACACTCACAGGATTGTTACAAGTCAAAACTTATTCCATTTAAATCACCAAAATTAACAAAAAACACCGTCGAAAACCAAAGTTGTGTGAATGAGTAATGGGCTGTATACTGGAATAAGCAACATACAGTATGTTCTTTTACTAACACTGTGTGTTGTAGAAGACATGCCACTTTCTTGGCTGCTTGATGGAGAGTCACCATCTTGGTTGCCCTCTTGTGAATCAGATGACTTTGTTCCATATGGTTTATTCTGCATCCAAGCTCGTGCTAGGGCGTACAGTGGTGGGTCTTCATTAAATTGGGCAAAATCCACACTGCGGTCAAACAACTTCATAACAAAACTAAAAAGAAAAAATAACACAGACACCTGATTATAGAATATAACATTGCCATATACTTAGACCACCATGTAAATGAAAGCAATCTAGATTATTGGAATAGTCAACAGCTCTCCACTGGATGCAAACAGCAAGGGATCTCAAACACAAAGAAAGATTGAAGCCTTTTCTTAACAAGTTTACTTTACAGTACTAGAATAACCCTGATATCTACTATGCATTGGCTTTTCACATGTCCACAGCGTACAAAAAACAGAAGGCTTACCTCGCTATACAGAAGAAGCATCCAGATTCTCCAAGATCAAATGCCAAAAGAGAAAAACAAAGAGCAAAATCAGAGAAAGCTAAGGGAACATTTACAAAGAAAAGAAAAGGGAGGATAGATGGATTTGGTTAATGTGTTGCATGCCATCCTTGTCGCCACTCAATTCAAATCATGTGATGATTCATTTGGGAGGTTACAAATTCTTGTGCAATTTGTCACATGCGACTGATCGTATGGGAGATGTACAGAACAATATTGCCTTTAGGATACATGATTCCTTTTGAATACTGGTCAGATATATTGAATTATTTTGTTGGATGATGTATGGTAACTGAGAAAACTGAAAAAGTGTGACTACCGGTAAATCAGTTGACTAAAAGTGTTTACTGATATCGTGGGGAGTTAAGGTGTTGATTTGAAAAAATAAATTTTTGTACTGAACAGTGTTGATGAAGTCATTTTAAAATCTTAACTGCAAGCACGTACGATTCTGACTAGTCCCATCTCCATCTGTAGAGAAACAAAATTTAGAAATCACCATGAATTTTTTTTTTAAGCAGTTAATATGATTTTCACGCTAAATCATTCACACATTTACTTGTACTCCTTTAGCATTTATTAATACATGTTCCTTACTGACCGTCATATCCTATATCTTTTTTGCGTCTTTTCCTTGGGGTTTTCCCTACAAGACAAAACAACAAACATGGCAGAAGTGATCAAGTTACCAACTCATTTAACTAAGATGTAAATTACAGAAAACTTTTATAGGCAAACTAGGTGTTTATTTCTTTGCAAATTTGGAATTTGCAGCCCAATGTTCCACTGCTGATTGGCAAAAACTTCAAATTTGCTTACTGAGCATTTTGGTAATAATTACAAAAATGCACAGTAAGCAAATTTGTAGGTGAGATACCGTGTATTATTTATTATAAGCTACCATGCAAGATAAGATAATATACCAGTAACCTTTAGTTAACATGGTCAAATGCACTGAGCTAAATAGCTATTTCACAGACACGCCATGAAATAAAAATAGCAACAAAAATCTACAGAAAGTATGTTTACAATTAAAAATAAAAATGGTCAAGCAATTATTCACAATCATGTTATTAAAGTTGTACAGAGAAGACACATATTTACATAATTAAAATGTGAGATTTAAACCAAAATCCAATTTGAAATAGAGATCATGGAAATTAAATCAGAGGTATCACTTTGACAAAGACTAAAGACTTTAAGCTTAAAGATTGACTAAATCAAAAATACCATGATTATCATTTCACTATGACGAGCCTACCTGAGGCACTCCTTTATTTGGTACAGGGATAGCATGAAAAGAAGAAAACCAAAATCAATCTCTACACCATAGTACCGTGGACAAACATCACAGACAAATTCCTAGCTAGCACTGTAAAGTTATCAAAACCTCAGGTACTTCTCCCTTAAGGTGGCTCCATAGAGTAATCATTTATGGCGTTGCGTGCACAGATGTTATGTTTTGAATGCTGTTTTTGCATTCGTTTTTACACCCAGTCCTCTCGAACTTATCACAAGTAATAAACAATGATTAAACAGTGTTTTACCATCATTTCTCTTAAAATTTTGGGTTTTAGTCTTGAACAGGGCTCGAAATAACGGCTGGTCAACAGACAATGTCCGGCCAGAATGGTGACTTGACCAGCCAAAAACTTCACTCACCAATTATGTTGACCGGTCACATCATGTTGAGACAGTCACGTTGTTCATTCTTGAATAAACAATCAAATCCTCAACTGTAATCCTCACATGAAAATATATACCAACGGGTAGCTGTTTGAACAGCTAAAAGTTTTTTGCTTGCTATTTGCCATGCGTTCAATGCCATTCAAATGGCTGGGGTTATCCATTCAGAAAAATATTCAGCTGTTCGAACTGCTGCTATCCGTGCAAAAAAACAGTTTCATCTGTTAGGACAGCAGCAGTTTTCAATTCAGAATTCAAAACTATTGAGCCTTTTGAACAGCAAGGGTTTTCCGTATGGCAAAGGGAATCTGATCAGATTCAGCTTGTCATGACGCTTTAGATTTGCCTAACTGTCCCACATTTTTGTCACAGAGCACCTCTCTTTGTTGGCGTATATTTCAAAGGCACTGCTCTACAGATGTCAAGATATTTGTCGTTCTTTCACTTTCACTGCACAAAAATCGACGAACAAGATGGCAAAACAAAACTTTTCGCTCAATTGTCAAGTTGTTTCCAACTTATAGACACTATGGGACTCTGGGACATCGAAACACACATTTTGCAGTCTGCTTCATTTCCATCAAGCCGTAAATGTAACATTAAGCACGAAACCAGTATCTAATTTACTGTTACAAAGCTGTTACAAAACGGACGAAAATAGTTATGCACCAACAAAAAAGCCGAAGGCCTTACTATCAGTATCTGTATCTGTAAAGTTATTTTGTCCGCGAATGAAATTTGAGACACTCTCAACTCGTTGCTTAGCACGTGACCAAAATCTACCCACTTTCAGTAAAATCTACCGAATGATGGTCATTAGTTCTTCATGAATGAAAACTCTTTCCAAAATATGACTACACATACACACTTACACTTTAGAACTTAATTTTAGTCACATCATTAAGAAACTACCCAACACTTGTTGTGTAACTGTAGCCGTATTCATAGTAATGCGATGATTTGTTGTACGTTTACACGGGAGAGAATCCAGGAAACAGAAACTTCTTCTTCGGCTATTGTTTACCCAGTTATTTCTGAAGCCCAAAATTTGGATCTGCTGATGCATGTTTGGTTTCATTTACATCCTGATGGACATAAATACTTTGTAGAACATCAAAACAGCAGCTCATGGAATTCAATAGACCGATCAAAAAATGCGAAGTTTTGTCAAATATGAATCTGTTCAATACTTTTTCTTTGGCAGGTGGGAAGAATTCCACTGACAATGTGCCACTTCATTGAGCTGCTGAGTGCTGCCAAGGCTATCTTTGGTTCAATTTTAATCTTTTCTTTGTATTAGGCTAAATTTTAAACAGTCTAGTATCGACTGGAACAAACAAATTGTATTTGTGGTTTTAAAGTGCACATGACATGAAAAATATTTTCTGCTTATTTGAAAGACCTTTCAAAACGGAGAAGAATGGCGTTTTTCTTTTTGAAACATCTTTTTTCATTTTAGAGATATAGATGTTTTCCTATTATGCAAATAAGATCAGTGATGACGTCATATTGTTTGCAACTAAAAATGGTAAAATACCGAATAAACAATATCTCCAGGAATATTGAAGCAGTGTTCTTGAAACTTGGCACCACAAATGTACATCACAAATGAAACAAAATGACACCCTCAGTCAACATGACCGGCCACAGTCCGAAAATTGTTTTGAGCCCTGTTGAATTATAATTGCCCACACAAATGTGTTTGTTACTTTTTACATGGCTTTATTTGTGATTTTCTTGAATTTCCTATGGTGAAATCTTCCAAAATTTTCACAGCACATCGCACCAAGTGGGATACACATTTTAAACACAAAAAAGAAGGGTTTGTAAAGGCAGTTTTTTTTATTTTTGCCAATTTATGTCTTTTACCGCGGCAAAAAAACTGGTCTTATAGATTTCGCTGAAAAACCAACCGTAAAACTATAGTGAGCCATCTTAAAATAGCATCAAATTTCATTGGGATGAATCAGAAAAAAGTTAAAGGAAACATCATGAGGGGGGTAGGGAAGGGGAGTGCTTATTCTGCTACCAAACTATCCTGTTCAAATTCATTACTGCTTGTTGTCAGTGACTCCTGCTGGCTATAATAAACACACACTTAATCTACTGACCTTTTAGTTGGAGTCGATGGTGGTGGCATTTGAAATGACACAGTGCTAAAAAAAAGAACAATATAATGAACTCAGCTACCAATGACAGAAAGACTTTGAAGGAGATGTTTGCTAAGAGAAAAATGGTCTAGGTGAATAAATGTACTTAGACTTGTAACGTGAAAATTAACACCTTCAGCTATAGTTCAGCTTACCCTCCTGCTGTAGAACTGGCCTCATCTTCACTGCTGTTGAGTGAAAAAAAAAAAAATAAGAAGCAAATAAAATAGTGCATACATACTCTAGCCTGAGAGAACAGCTGTATACCAGTAATTTTTATTTCTTCCAAAATGAGAGGGAAAAAAAGTTAACTCTGGTCAAAATGAACTCATTAATCTGGTCATCGAGATTTCTTTCGTGGCAATTAAATAAACAGCAGTTATTATTAACAAGTCACCTTTCTTCTGTTTTCTTTATAAGATCTTTCAGCAACACATCTAGTTTAACCCTAGCACTTCTAACCCCTGAAAGCAGAAGTCAGATTGTGTAGGTCCAGAAAATATCCATACCTCCCCCACGGAAGGGATTTTTTCTAAGACCCCCCCCCCCCCCCCCCCCCCCCCCCCCCCCCCCCCCCCCNCCCCCCCCCCCCCCCCACCCCTCTGGAAATTCCAATAAAGCTTCACACATTTCTTAAAATTTTTTGGTTACAGAACCCCCCACCCCCCAGGAAATTCCAATCCCTTCTGTGGGGGGAGTATGGGTATGTTCTGGACCCGCACATTACAGTTTAAAGTAATTCCTGCTTTTTGACTGGTACATGCACAAGAAGGTAACTCTGTCACACTCAGTGCTACGTAAATTAAACAAAACCTCAAATTTATAGCTTAGAAACTTGTAAGTCTACTACAAAACGATAAACACAACAGAATTGTGTTGATAGTATGCATTAGAGGGTATAATTTACTCTCAACTTAAAGATTATTAGAGGCACAAGTAGGACTTATGTCTTCTCAGGGATAACCCCAAAGGATTTGACAACCCTTGCGGTTTTGGCCTTGGTTCCTTAGAACTAAGGAGACTCAGAGGAGGATGAATTAAGACAGTTCTTTGTCTCCACCCTGGGGAATTTGCCATTAATCAGGTGCTATTACAGAGGGGAAAAACCGGGGGAGTATTGTTGCGATTGACTCAAGCCTAAGGGGACAGAACGTCATTGCTAATGCAGTGTACATGACTTTCCGGTCGAAGGGCCACTCTAGCACACAGATAGAACGCCTTGTCAGGAACAGAGATTATTGGAGGGGTCTTGACAATGACCTTTGCTCCGAAAGGCTTGATCATGAGGTAAGCTTATGAAGAACGTGTAAGAGCACAAACGTCTGCTTGTTTTGGTTTACGATACAATTTGTTGCTTGTAATAAAAAAAATTATTACGAAAGCTACTACACTAAAAAAGAACAGTTTACCCGTGGAATTGTCTTCGCTTTTCGCCATCAAAATGTAAAATCCTTTCCTTGCCTCTTCTTGTTTTCACGTTTTACACTTGGGAACGATCCAGCTTGAAAACGTGATACACTAACCGTATATCAAGCTAACTATCTGTTACACAATTAAAATATATCCTACGGAAAGCACTTTTGTCTACGGCAGTCGAAATATCATTGGATCTTTGGGAGAAATTATTTTAAGAAAATAGCACAAAAGTGCAACTTCTTCGAATTGGACGCCATTTTCCTCTAAAACTACCCCGGATGAAAAGACTATATTTTATTGGTTTGTGGTATTGGCTACATTGAAGATCCCATAAGTCTTTGCATATCCTGTGTTTTGATTGGTCATTCGATCAATGTTGACAAATTTCAAACAAAGTTTTCTTCCATCTACGAACTGTATATTCTCACTTTTCTCGAAGAAAATTACAAAATAGTAGCCTTACTTTTACTGGAGAGTATTCGAGCATAATGTGTAACACTGACAGAGCACCAGGAGTTTCATTTGGAAGCGTAAGATTCTCTGAAAGGCCTCAGATCGACTCTGCAAGTTTCAGAGAGAGCTTCGCGCGTGTGTAGTTGATACCTTCATTTCTGATCTATTCCAGGCTAATTTCACTCCCGATGAACACGAGGCTATTCAAAACGCTTTAAATCAGAAGCTTGGCCCAGAGTACATTAGCCAAAGAGCAGGGGCGGGTGGTCAAAAGGTTAGCTTAACATCTTATGTCCAAGTTAAGTTGGTTTAATATGTAACTTGTCAGCAGTTAATTTCTGATCTCGGTTTATTTTTGTGGGCCCGTTTCTTATTTTATAGTTGATCCTTTTTTCAATTTATGCCTAGTCAATGATTACATTATGGGCTGGTGATAAATTGAGAACTAACTAGACGAAAAGGAACCACATAGGTCAAATCAAAAATTCACTGAGATAAAAAATCAGCAAAATTAGCAGCGTTTGCTAATTAGTAAAATATAACAATTTTACCATGATTCGACGTAGTTATTAAGGTTAATTAATTTTCCGGAGGATGTTTGTCTTAGGCTGTGTTCACACTTGTTGGCTGAGCACTGGTGCCTGGGCAGCGACACAAAATAGGGTTGTGTTCAGACAGTGGGTACTCCAACTACCCAAGTACCATTAATTGCCCAAGTACAAGGTGGAGAACTTGTACTGGGTAATTGGGCACTGTGCCCGAATTCTGGTGTGAGTACTTGGGGAAAAGGTGTGTTCTCATTAGTGCCCAGGAAGAGTCCAGGAAGTTCCCGGGAACTACATTCAAGCACTGACCAAGTGGGAACATAGTCATAGTCTGAGATATTATTGTTGTTTTCAGCTTGCTTATGTGGAAGGATGGAAAATAATCAATTTGGCAAATGAAACTTTCGGCTTCAATGGATGGTCACATTCTGTAACCCATCAAAATATAGGTAAGGATGCAGTGTCTTGCCTCAAGTCAATCATGTATTCATGAGGTTCAAATTTCTCATTTTTTGCACTGTCAGGTTGACTCTAGTGATAATAGTGTCTATTTTGTTAGACTTTGTTGATCAGGTGGCAAACAAATATTATGTTGGAGTGAGTGCTTTTGTAAAAGTCCAGTTAAAGGTTAGAATCTTAATAAATTAAAATTGTTTAATTAATAAGTAAAATAATAATTAATATTAATATGAAATTAATGTTTTGTTAAATGTACCAACTCTGAACTCTTTCGATTCCCTGTCTACTTTGCTCTATTGTACAAATATAATGGGAGAAATTTTGAAGACAGATATTAGATTACTAGCTAGATACACTTTTTTTGATCAAGGATTTGAGTGGTAAAGTGATAATTTACTAGAGGTTCATCACTAAGTTGAAGTAGTAGAAGTAGTAGTAGTAGTACATGTAGCAGCAGCAGCCAGCGGCAGCAACAGCAGGGGCATAGCCAGGATTTTTCAAAGAGGGGTCACACTGTGTCAAAGTGAGGGTACTCACCAGATTGTCATGTAGACCTGTAGACCTCCACACCTGATGTAGGTTGCTTGCTTAAAAAGGGCTTACAAAAGAGTATTCACAGGCCCAGGACCCCCCCACCCCCCTTGCCTACGCCCTTGAGCAGTAGTACACTGTAGTAGGTAGTCATTGGGGATGAAAGAGCAAAGCTAGCTTGTAAATGCAGTCATATTTCCATGTCTCCACTGAAAAAGAAAATGTTACTTTCAGCAGAGACAAGCAACAGCTGGAAATATGTCTGCATTTGCAGGCTAGGAGGAAGTTTGCCTTCAGCACAATCTACTTGAATGTTGCAGGATGGTGTGTTTCATGAGGACATTGGTTATGGAGTGTCAGAGGGAATGAAATCCAAAGCTTTGTCACTTGAGAAGGCAAGAAAAGAAGCTGTGACAGATGGACTGAAAAGGGCTCTGAAGTAAGATCACCTCTTCAAAATTCTTGTTAAACAGCTTTGANTTGGTATAGTTTGATAGCCAGCTCCATAAGCTTTAATTTGATATAGGGGTTTAGGTATCTACAGCTTAAACTGCACACGCTACATCGCTTGCGTGCGAGACACCCCTGAAGGTATACTGTAACCTTAATCCTGCAGAGCTCAACCCTTACACCACAGTGACTGTACCTCACACTAGGAGTTAGACTTAGTTAGAGTATCTCCTTCAGTTCAATGGCCAGTGTTATTAAAAAGGGCAACACAATTTCCCCGTCTCAAACCTGGATCTGTTGATCCAGAGTTCAGCTGTTACACCATTGTACCTCCCACCAGGAGAAGTTAGTTTTAGTATTGCTCCCCAGCCAGTGTTACATTGATGGCAGTTGTGACTCAAAGGCACGATTAACCATGTCCCTGGCAAGACTCCAGCCTGGATCTGTTGATCAAGAGTCCAACATTTACACCATTATACATCCCACTAGGAGGTAGAGTATTGTTGACGGGAAGCAACAAGCTTGGGATAGATTAATTAGTAACCTTTGACATGCATATATACATTTATTTAATTTAGTAAACATAGACTTATTGTTATGAAGGGTACCATTCAGTACGATGTAAACTACATGAGGAGACCAGGGCAAAGAGTGGTGTTGAGACCTAAAAATGGTCAACGAATGGATCATGGGATGATGAATGAAACTGCTCCTGGAAGTAAGTTAAAATCAAGCCCAGGAAGTATAGATTTAACTTTCAAATTACATTATTTTGCAGCAACTACATTTATGCTACACATCCTCGTTCCCAGGGTCTACTCCTTGCAATCTTTTTTCAAACTTCTCAGCTGATCAAACAACCCCAAGGCCATGGTTGACACTCTTGGCACATCACTACGTATTGAAAATGGTCCGTACTTGACTTCCCACATGAGGGTTTATGGAATTTCCTCTCCCACTGTCCAAGCAAATAATATGTTCAAATATAATAAAAAACTGTACCTTATTGGTGAACAAAATTAATGAAAAGTTGACAGGAGTTTCATTGTGTTTACAAATTCCCCTATTCAAAGTAATCGTGACCAATGGCTAACAAAAATGATTCTTGTGTCTGGTCAGTTCTAGATAAGCTGTATTAATGTACTGGGCGTTTTGGCGATAATCTCCATATTCAGTGTTTATTGTCACTCTGACAATCACACGGTCATACTTGTGGAAGCAAAGGCCAAATTTTACCTTTATAGATATGTCTATCAGTGTTTGTCCAATAGCAAATGCAATCACCAGTATTCTTTTTTTCTTTTTGTTTGTTTGTTTTTTGCTTGTTCCAGGTAACAGTCATGAAAACACTGGACAAGCACAAGTCATTTCTACTTCCAAGTGTGTACAAAACAGCTCCTCTGAAAGGCACCCTGCAGAATCAACAACAACAGTTAAGACAAAACAAGAAGACTTGCATCCAAATTCAAGAATACCAAATGAATTTAGGACTCCTCTAGTTGAACGGGACAAATCTAACAGAACACCTTCTTTTCCTCCTCCACCGAAAACACCCTTAGCAGCCTCCACCCCTACAGCTATGGTGCCAGCCCAGAAAAGCAGTACCAGTGCTATGACCACGCCTTTAGAAAATAGGACATGTGGAACCACCCCACAACAAGAGAACTACAGTGTTCTTCCAGAAGGTGATTTATTTTCATTTGTACCCTTCAAAATTGCTAGATTGTAATGTAAGCGGATCTTGGTTAGAAAATAATCTAATTTAGTTTAAAATGCACAGAATAACAGTGCAAATATCACAACGTCTGAAGTGCAACTTGTGTTAAGCCCTGAAATTGTAATGTGTGTCCACTACCTATATTATTGTTCTGGGTACACTGGCTTAGTTTTTGCGTGTTTATCTGGCGGTCATTCAAAAGACTGAGCGGCGATTTTATCCTTCTTGAAACTTCTCCCTCGACAATAGATTGCCTTTTAGGGCTAGAAACAACTTGTTCTGTTCTTATTATCCTGTGGTCTCTGTGAGGAGAAACTCGATTATTTAGCAAACATATTGTAAAGAATTTGTTACGTACCGTTAAAGGATCGGTTATGATGACAATCGTCCTATTAGAAGGACTAGAAGAGCGGTTTCGGTTTTTAGGAGAACACGAAAACGGCCTGCGGTTTCGAAGGAACAGAATATGGAAAGACCCTCATTATCTAGAAACTAACTAATTTTCGCGACACGTTTATTTCGCGATTTCGAGGTGCGCATATTTCGCGACACTTAAATTCCGCGAATTTACGAAGATTTTGTATTATGAATCACTTTAACTTTGCGTTTTTGAATAACACACAATTTATTTCCTTGGTGCACAGTGTTACTTCAACATGTCCTTGAATTTAGTAAACCGACTTTATCAAAGGTACAATAACGTCAAAATTACGAGTCGTGGTCGAAAAAGTTCCAATTGAAAACTCTACTCCCACAGTTTTCCTGGAAAAGTATCTTACGACTAAAATCCTTTTTGTCACACCAAAGTTATGAAAAGTAAAATATTGCCAGCATTAGACCCCGGGGGCGGGGATCCCCATATAAAAATGACGGGGGTGCTCGTCGTACTTCTTAGGGGTTAGGAGTTTTGGTACCTCTAAGGGTGTTTAACCTCGAAAGGTCCATAGCGGGAGCTTTTGCGGTTACCCTTAAGGGTATTGAGCCAAAACAATATGACAGGAGATANAATGATGTTTTGAATCGTCTCGTCAACAGATGACCCTCTTTTATGGAATCAGTCATTTGGTTTTGAAGAAGCGTTGATATCCTGTAGCGAGGAAGTACTGATGAGGCCAGGCGAATCCAAACTTGAAAACCGTACGATCAAACAAGCTGACAGGAATTTTACTAGGTATGTCTTAGCTTAAATGGGTAGGAGAATTCTCTGCGAGCAAATGTTTTTGCTGTTTGAATCATGGAATCAAGTGAACTCCTGGTAATGTTTGTTACAGCAGTAATTTTTTCGCTTTCAAGTACCCATCTTTATTTGATATTCTGTTTTTTGTTTTTGTTTTTTTTTTTTTCATAGATGTAACAACAGAAACGTGGCAGCCCCACCCAATTCGTCTTTAAGTAACAACTGCAGTAACACTGCCATCAACAAACATTTCGCCTGTTCCAAATCGTATCATCCAACCTCAAGCAAAGCTGTCATTTCGGGGCACTCGGATCAACCAGGTAAGCTACTGGAACCTGTTAGACGACGCTTCTGTAATTGCGTAGAATAAATGCTTTAAGTCCACTTTAAGTCTACTTGACGACACGAATCTTCTCTCTTATAGAACTATCAGTCCAGTCACGTAGATAAGTCATGCTCTAGAATTGGCGCGAAAGCTCGGGCAAGCGCGTCTATGCTCTAACCAATCAGAGTAATCGTGTTGTTTTTCCACCAATCAGGATCAAACCAAAAGTAGTTGTGTCTCGCGTTTTCCCGCGCTTGACACTGCTTAGCCCGTGTTGCTTGAATTCTGATTGGTTCTTTGCGTTATTTCCGTTGGTTGTGATTGGTCAAATGTGGTTTGGTCTAACAATGCGTTTTAATTTATTTTCCGCAGAAAACACGAAACGGAGGAGAGTAGAGGGACACACTGCCAGATGATATGGAATGATGCTTCGGTGGCAGTATGAATACACGCGGGTCTGTCTCGCGTGGGAAGAATCGCGCGAGAGAGAGACACCGCTCGAATCGAAAAATCATAAGTTGATGACGTAGTACCACAGACATCTGTGACCTCTCTGATTTTTTCCTTGCTAGGTTTTGTAATTTTGCGCGGAAATTTCGACCAGTCAGAGACACTTCACGGATGGCTGTTTTAGTTGCGTTATCGGCGCGGCCGTTTCTTGGATTGAATCTCGGATGTCATTTTCGTTGGAGGGAGGGTGTGGGGTTAATTTCTCAGAGTGGTGTCTCACTGTCGAGGTATCGCGAGAAACGTTTGCCGTCTAATTCCCAAAGAACATTCATAAAATCACAAGAAGTTTACTGGGTATCCTAAAACCAGGCATGCTTTGAAGACACTGAAAAAGTTGTACCCCAACATTACCAGATATAAGTTAGTTTTTGTTTTTCGTGTGGACGTTATTGCAAAGTAACTTTTGAATTACTTTTTATTTGGTTTTATTTGCCTCCCAAAACAGTTTAAAATTAGTGACACACTGTTTTTTTCCTCTTGCATTTTAAGCTAAAGCATTAGGTTTTTGAAACAATAGTTGCGTCGAGTCGACTACCCTTTTAAAATCTGTTCATTCTGCAAGCAAAGTCTGTTTTTGTTTCTTATCTATTTCCTCTTTCCTTTTAGCTCAACCCGCAAAGTTGTTTTAATTTATATTTGTGACAGAGCAGATGATGGAATAAAGTTTACTTTTTATGAATTTTCCGACTAAGGCTTAGATATACTGGAGTGGGAATCAATTTAAAGTGAACATAAGCTTATATGTTTTATAACACAAGAGAAATATAATGAGCAACGTAGACGTGTGGTTTCTGCCCCTCGAGCAACACTATCGGCCACTTTCACTTCTTTGTGTTCTCCAAACTTCCTGCGTACATCATAACTCGATGATACTCGCTAAAGCCGTGGTCAAACAGCGCATGATAGTCCATGATAGTTGATTTTCAATCAAGGAGCTTTAAGTAACCACGACGGCGACGCCGAGGACAACGTTGATTAAAAAACGAATTTATATTCTACCTACGAATCTCGCGGTACTGTCAAGTCATTTACATTGTTTATCACTGTCAAAACAATCACGAAACTAAATCTGGGACAAAGCGATAAATTTGAAATGAAAATTTAGAAAACTTTCCGTCGTGGTTCATGTTCTGCAGACAACGCAGAATTTGGCCATTTCACGTTGTTTTGCAGAGGACGGCAAAGAAATGTACCAAGAATTATAACGCACGTGCACAGCCATTGTTCTACTCATTAAACCTTTTGTTTAGCGACCGTTCCGTTGACGTTGCTGTCGTGGTTTTTTTAAACTCCTAACGGCTTCAGAGTAAAATATGAAGTCATTTTTTGTTAATCGACGCTGTCCTCGGCGTCGCCTTCGTGGTTAATTAGGGTGCTTTCCATTATGCCAAACCGACCGTTCAGAGACCAGTGGGAATACCCGAAGTAAATGGAACGGCATTTTCCGATCAAACCGGGCCAACCAAGAGGAATGGCTGTTACCATTTGTTATCCCTTTCCCGAATTCCCTACATAAGTACCGAGAAGTGTGGCAGTGAACCGGTTTGTCAAAAATGGAACGGCATTTTTCAGTCGGAATATTCCGACCGAAATAAGTGGATTACCTCCAGAGGTGATCTTAAATATTCCGGTCGGAAGCTTTCCATTTGACTTCCGACCGAAATTTCCGATACTCGGCTATTGGGAAACATTTTCTTGAAGCTCACGGCAGTAACCACCTACTTACTGAATGACAGCCATTTTAATATTTTGAGAAAGAGTCGGAGCAAATTCGATTGTCTATTATTCGAAATGCTTTACATCAAGAAACTCAAGCCTACTTTGGATACCCAGACGGAATTAATACGTGCGAAACTTTTTGTTTTAAGTCTAGTAGCATTTTCTTTGTTATACTACTTCTTAATTAGTGACCATTGTTCTTATTAGTATTTTACGATTTGTAATTTCTTAACTTTGTGACTTGATAATGATGTTGTGAACTTCGAAACGTCGTCTAGCTTTTGAGCTTTCTTATCTTTTTGTAATGTTTCTAAAAATATTTTATCGCGGTTATTTTATAGCGATAACGGAAAGGGAAATCTTGCCATAGAAAGTACCCTAAACTCCCTATTGACTATCACGCACCGTTTGACCAGGGCTAGAATGTCTAAAAGTCCTTATTTCCAATAATTATTCCCTGGCCTGTTGGTACGTCGTTCGAAGGATATAATATCAAGCAAAGGTCGACTTGTGGCAAGTCTACACCAGGGGCCCGTTTCTCGAAAGCCGCGGAAACTTTTCGGGCCCGTAAAGCCATTTTGTATAGTCCATCGGTATCTTAAAACAGAGAAGTGTATACGCCTGAAACTTCTTGTATGAAGGGAACTTCTCTTCATATTAAGAATATGTGAATAAAACAGCTCTGTAATCGTAGGGTTCGACATTTTGCTATGGCACTACGGGCCCGAAAAGTTTCCATGGCTTTCGAGAAACGGGACCCAGGACCATAATTTATGCAAATAAAATTGGCCATGAACATTCCATGTGAGAAAGACTGAAATTCTAGAGCAATCAGCTGAGGCCGAATCGGGAATAGGAAGAAGGCGACAGATAGGCTTGTTTCGTACATACTTTAATATAGCCTGCAGTGCAGGCGTCTTATTGGGGCGAGTTAGCGTTACAACCTTGCGACCACCTTTTTAGACCGCCTATCATTCACCCCCTTGGTAAAACTTTCTTTCTCTCCCCAGTCTTCCNTAGCCTGCAGTGCAGGCGTCTTATTGGGGCGAGTTAGCGTTACAACCTTGCGACCACCTTTTTAGACCGCCTATCATTCACCCCCTTGGTAAAACTTTCTTTCTCTCCCCAGTCTTCCACTGCAGGAAAAATTCAAGATGGCGGCTAAACCTTTTACGATGTGAGCGCTCGCTCGAAAAAATCTCGCCTGCTCTGCAGGCTAACTTTAATAGTGTCAAGTCAGACTACAAAACAACCAACAGCCAATCGACGATTGAATGCACAAAGCCTGTCTTCTCAAAGAAAGACTTTGGCAATGCGACGTACATACTTGCGAATCATTCGCATCCTTTTAATGGCGTTTGCAGTGATGGGCACATTGCTGTTAGTCCTGAAACACCATCCATCGTCCACTGAGTCGGACGAAAATGACAAAGGTAAGTTTTGTTTTTCATTTTTTCTTCCTCTTTGGGTACCGAAGACAGATGATCGAAAATAAGAACACAGCACCGGGGCGAACTGGGGATATGATAATCACTGAAGTTTTATAGTTTCAAATCCTTTATATTTGATTACTTTAGTTAATCACTGAAGTTTTATAGTTTCAAATCTTTTCATGTATATAGTTTCCTTTGGCTGGTTTTCACTAGCGACGCAACCACAAGCGCAAGCACAAGAGCAAACAATAATTCTTATTTTACCGTGAAAACAGACGGCCTTGACGCTGCCATAAGCACAAGCGCAAGCACAAGCACAGGGATTAAAATGTTTCCTTTTTCCTGTGCTTGCGCTTATGCTTGCGTTTGTGCTGCAACAAGTGAAAAGGAAATACCGCTCAGGCATAACATAAGCACAAGAATATTTACCACACGTGGTTATGTTTGGCCATTGAAAACACTGGATCCAGATTACCCCGCGCCCATAGAGTTTGGAAGTTTTGGATGATTTTGCTTGTGCTTGTCTCTGCGCCGAATTTCGTTTTCACTTGGGTCATCCCTATTGATTGCGTTACAGGATGTCTGCAGCGAAATGAATTTCATTGGATGAGGTGATCTAGTTTTTAGAGAAGGCTGATGTTGTACATGTTTGTTTGTTTGTTGTTTTCTTCAGGTCAATCCTGTCACAAAGAGACTTTATTAGAGAAACACTACTAGGTGTGGTGAACAAAGCAGCGGACTATCTAAAGCAACTTTGCATCACGTTTTGGTGTCCAGTCGCTATAAAACGCTGTTTTGTTTCGTCCCAAAGGTTGCATGTAGTAACTGGAAAAGCGTTCTGTCGGTGACTCAGAATTTTTCTTTGTCCCACGTTCGTGTCATGTTGATTAATTCACCTTCACATTTCAATGATGTTTTCAATCGTCTCGTCAACAGATGACCCTCTTTTATGGAATCAGTCATTTGGTTTTGAAGAAGCGTTGATATCCTGCAGCGAGGAAGTATTGATGAGGCCAGGCGAATCCAAACTTGAAAATCGTACGGTTAGACAGGCTGACGGAAATTTTATTAGGTATGTTTTAGCCTAAATGGGTAGGGCAAATCTCGACGAGCAAATTTTTTTGTATTTGAATCATGGAACCAAGTTAAGGACGTTCGCACCAAAAAATGTCCTCACAAATAGATTTTTTTAAAAACTTATCATGAAGTAAGGTAAAGAAAAAGCCAAACAATGGGAAAGGGGGGTCACCGTGCTCGTTTTCGAGATAAGGCGCGTTGAAGAGGTTTTCGTTTACATTTTAAGACGAAGTTAGCTTACAGCTATCGCACATAAAAATGCTGCATTAGTGAAATTTAGATCAGGTAAACGTTCTCAATTAAACACAACTAAGTATATTAAGTAAACGTTTGAAGCTGGCGTCGTTCCTTGAGGTAGAATAGGCCTAGAAAAAGAATAAATATACTTCGCTCTCACGAGGGCAGAAAAAGCGAAATATTTGTAACTTCTCACGTATAGATTTTTCCTGTTTTTTGTGAAAGTGGATAAAATCGGGAAAGGAATTTATCTACCGAAAGAAAAATGGGGGTCTTCAAGCATCCAAGAGAGTAAATTAATTGCAGGTGAAGTTACCGCAACTGCTGCCAAACCCGTTACTTGCTTACATTTCTTCCTTTTCGCGCGCGCTTGATGTATGACGTGGCGTGAAGTTGCAACATGAATTTCGTACGCAGAAAGGATGACGTCCTTAACTCCAGATCATGTTTGTTATATCAGTATTTTTTTCGCTTTCAAGTACCCACCGTTATTTGATATTCTCTTCTTTTTCATAGATGTAACAGAAACGTGGCAGTCCCACCCAAGTCTTCTTCAAGTAACAACTGCAATAACGCTGCCATTAACAAACATTTCGCGTGTTCCAAATCGTATCATCCAACCTCAAGCAAAGCTGTCATTTCGGGGCACTCGAATCAACCAGGTAAGAATTGGCGCGAAAGCTCGGGCAAGCGCGTCGATGCTCTAACCAATCAGAGTAATCGTGTTGTTTTTTAACCAATCAGGATCAAACCAAAAGTAGTTGTGTCTCGCGTTTTCCCGCGCTTAACACTGCTTAGCGCGTGTTGCTTGAATTCTGATTGGTTGTTTGCGTTATTTCCGTTGGTTGTGTTTGGTCAAATGTGGTTTGGTCTAAAAATGTGTTTTAATTTACTCTCCGCAGAAAACACGAAACGGAGGAGAGTAGAGGAACACACTGTCAGATGATATGAAACGATGCTACGGTGGCAGTATGAATACACGCGGGTCTGTCTCACATGGGAAGAATCGCGCGAGAAAGAGACACTCGAATCGAAAAATCATAAGTTGATGACGTAGTACAACAGATATCTGTGACCTCTCTGATTTTTTTTCTTGCTAGGTTTTTGTAATTTTGCGCCGAAATTTCGACCAGTCAGAGACACTTCACGGATGGCTGTTTTAGCTACGTTATCGGCACGGCCGTTTCTTGGATTTAATCTCGGAAATCACTTTCGTTGGAGTGAGGGGGTGGGGTGAATTTCGACCAATTTCTCAGAGTGGTGTCTCACTGTCGAGGTATCGCGAGAAACGTTTGCCGTCTGATTCCCAAAGAACATTCATAAAATCACAAGAAATTTACCAGGTATCCTAAAACCAGGCATGCTTTGAAGACAATGAAAAAGTTGCACCCCAGCATTACTACATATAAGTTAGTTTTTGTTTTTCAAATTGTTGACGTTATTGGAAAGTAACTTTTGAATTACTTGTATTTGGTTTTATTTGCCTCCCAAAACAGTTTAAAATTAGTGACACACTTCTTGCGTTTTGATGTAAAGTATTGGGTTTTTTTAAACAATAGTTGCGTCGAGTCGAATACCCATTTAAAATCTGTTCACTCTGCATTGCAGGCAGAGTCTGTTTTTGTTTGTTATCTGTTTCTTATTTCCTTTTACCTCAACCCGCAAAGCTGTTTTAATTTATATTTGTGACAAAGCAGATGATGGAATAAAGTTTATTTTTTATGCATCTTCCGACTAAGGCTTAGATACACTGAAGTGGGAATCAGTTTAAAGTGAACATAAGCTTATATGTTTTACAACTCAAGAACCCCCGGCCAAACGATCACAACATTTCAACGCAACATATCGCAACATTGTTGGTCGCAACATGTTGCGTGCGTTTGGGCACCCTGTTGCGACGTGTTGCGACACGTTGGGAGTTGAAAATCGAACTAGTGCGCATGCCCTGGCGCAACATTGTTGCACGAACCTGGCCAAACGACTACAACATCATGCAACATCCACGAATGTTGGGTGAGAAATTTGACCATTTTCAAATTTGAGCCGACAACACCCAACATGTCGCAACAAGTCGCAACAGGGTGGCCAAACGCGCGAAACATGCTACGCCCAGCAATGTTGCTATGTGTTGCGTTGAAGTGTTGCGATCGTTTGGCTGGGGCTTAAGTTTGTTTAATTTATGAGCAACGCAGACGTGTGGTTTCTACCCCTCGAGCAACACTTTCAGCTACTTTCGCTTCTTTGTGTTCTCCAAACTTCCTGCGTACATCATAACTCGATGATGCTTGCTAAATAATAATTTTATTTTTATTTAATTTTTTTTAACTCGTACATTTGCAGTTTTTTTGTGTGTGTCAATGAAATCTTAAGACAGAAAAAAAGTGTACTATATGAGTCTGGAGACTGAAGTAACCAAGGGTTTTCTAGTCAGCCTCCAGGTATTATGTTTCTATGGAGATTTAAGAGAAAAAAAGCTATTAAGAGAATGAGATATGTACATAAAATTGGAAAAAAAGGAGCATATAGAAATATTACTAGTTTTCAGAATATTGTTCAGACAGTAAGTAAAGTTTCAGAGTCAAAGCCGTAGTCAAACGGCTCATGATAGTCCATGATAGTTGATTCTCCCCCTCACTGTCATCAACTATCAGCGAGTTTAAGTAACCACGACGGCCACGACGAGGGCAGCGTTGATTAAAAAATGAATTTATATTTTACCTAAGAATCTCGCGGTACTCTTAAGTCATTTACATTGTTTATCACTGTCAAAACTATCACGAAACTAAATCTGGGCCACAGCGATAAATTTGAAATGAAAATTTAAAAAACTTTCCGTCGTGATTCATGTTCTCCCGGAAACAACGCAGCATTTGGTCATTTCACTTTGTTAGGGAGTTTCGCCGAACAAACGGTTTAAGGGCCCATTAACTGATCTTTTCGAGCCGTTGCTAAGGAAAATTTATTCTCTCATAACCTCGTCATTTTTACTTATTTCAGAGTTATTTCATGTGTTTTAACTTTTTCATGATCAGTAACACTAGTGATGGCGTCATCAGGCCCCGCCCATGGTCATGTGACTAATACTGAAAAACGCAAAGGCTCCCAGGCAAATTACTTTATCGGGATTTTTTCATTGATTTAATATTCTAATTTAAATCCTCATTACGCTATGCATAGATTTTGTTTCATTTGTAAAAGGTCAGATTTTGAGAGAATTTCAAAATATTGAAAAGTTCGTAATTTTCTGAAAAAAGCATGATTTCGAAGAAGGAATGCATAGCTATGTTTCCAACATTGGTTTTAATCGAAATTGGTCGAAAAAGGCTGGATTGAATGAAAAACAGCGTTTCCTTTAGCATTTAAAGAAACCGGAAGTGCGCCCGATATATATTGGAAGTTACCCTATGCAGCATGGAGTTAGTTGGTCTTGTCTTTCTGTCTTTCTCTTATTTTGTCTTTGCTTGTACTTTTTTTACTTTGCATTTTGCGAAAAACAAAGAGAAACATCCAAAATGAAACCGAATTTGCAAGTTGTTTTTATTTTCCGCGCTCAGGCTGACGTAAGTGACCAGAAGTGAAATTTCACCTCCTTAGCAACGCGCGCGAGCGCGCGCATAAATCGGCTATTGGACCCTTAAGCGCTCAGGTGACGCCAAGCTGAGAGTAAATTAGAGCTCTTTTACCGGTTGTTCATCGAGTTGTTTCGTCATAATGTTTTGGCCCTAGGCTTAGGCACATGTTTGAACGGAGTTTGAAACTATTGCTACGTATACCGAAGTGATTTAATGCCTTTCAGGTGCTCAAGTAGTTTTCCTTTCTTCTTAGGATTACTTGCGTCATTTGTACACGTCTGGCAGGCAATCATAGCGCGCGCTACTGTAGTCAGCCGCCACCTTAACAAATAGATTCCATGTTGCCTTTCGTCTGTTCAGTAATAGATCACAGATGACGTCAAAATGTGTTAATAACGAAAAAGTGGCACACGGGGTGATAGCCGAATGTGTCACTGATGTTCTTATCACATTTGACCATTGTTGACGTCTTCTGTGATCTATTGCTGACGCACGGCAACATGGGATCTACTTGTTTCATATAATAAAGAAACAAAAAAGAATGTCCGCCATCTATGCGTCTGTCCTCCAATAGATCATAAGCACGAACCAATCAAAATGAGAACAATTTTTACTCAGCTAGTACCGTAAGGTTGTTAACAAAATGGGAGCCACTTTGCGTTTTCGAATTGCCAGTCATCGCTAGAAAAGTAAAATCAAAGTGGGTGGAAATCATTTGTGGTCTACTGGACAAGATAGATAGGATTGCATTGTCTTTCGGCATAAACGATTGGTCAGCTGAAATGTGAAATGTCTGAGTGTTGCATTCATGTGTTATGAAGTCTTACGTGAGTAGGAAAATTATAGCCGAAAGCAAGAAAATTCTCTGTATTGGAAAATAAAAACAGAGGTCACGTAACCTATTTTACCACATGACTCTCCAGTTAAATTTCAGAAGTCCGCCAAAATTTAAAAACAAAGTAGACCCCCAAATTAGAAAATTTGCTGCGCTCTAGTCTTTATGGGTTTGAAGGAACGCCTGGTCAATGAATTCTAAAAATGGTGGCCTCGATCAGTTTAAAAACAACGAATTCGGCGAGCTTTTCAAAGGGTATCCTATCTTCTAATACGGGGGGGGNTAGAAAAGTAAAATCAAAGTGGGTGGAAATTATTTGTGGTCTACTGGACAAGATAGATAGGATTACATTGTCTTTCGGCATAAACGATTGGTCAGCTGAAATGTGAACTGTCTGAGTGTTGCATTCATGTGTTATGAAGTCTT